ATTGAAGCTCCTTTAGTGGCAGTCATCATATTGTATAATTAATTTTACCATTCTTTTTAGTTGAGTTACCATGATTTACATCCTCCCAAATGTTCTGTCGGATTGGAGTGTGGGAGGCCCTTAGGGTTGGGGTTCAGCTTTTGGAAGAATTTTACCCTTCTTTTCACTGTTGGTTAAAATTGATTAGGTATGTGTTGACTTATTATGGATTGTCTTCTTCTATATATAGGCAATATTTTGGGGGCAAAGAGCTACATATATAAAGATTTGAAAGCTGCAACAAATGATTTCAGCCAAGAAAATATACTGGGTAAAGGAGGTTTTGGTGATGTATATAAGGTGATCTGAGTAACAATTCATGAGGGCATGCTGAATGAAATTTCAGAATATATAAGCAAAGCCGCAATCTGATCTTCTATGAATAAACTGCAGGGCACCTTACAAAGTGGGGATGTGGTGGCAGTAAAGAAACTGACAACAATTTCTAGTAGAGCAAAGGCAAACTTCGAGACTGAAATTAGTCTTATTACAAATGCGAATCATCCCAATCTCATTCATCTATTGGGATATTCTGGCAATGGAAAAGTGCTCATACTGGTCTATGAATACATGGCAAATGCCAGCCTTGACAGATACATATATGGTACTCCCATCCTCAAACATTATATTGTACTTAATGGTTATTAGTAGTATTTTTTATGTATAAATAAAACTTTTCCCATCCATTTTTCATGATTGAATTGGCAGGAGAGAAACGGGGAATGCTGAGTTGGAAGCAAAGGGTTGATATAATATTGGGTACAGCAGAGGGTCTTGCCTATCTGCATGAACAGTTTGATGTATGCATCATACACAGAGACATCAAATCTAGCAATATACTACTGGATGACGAATTCCAACCCAAAATAGCTGATTTTGGTTTGGCTAGGCTTTTACCGGACAATAAGAGTCATCTTACAACTAAATTTGCAGGGACTTTGTAAGCCTAATACGCTTATTTTGTTTTCCACGTTAGTTTTCTTTTAATTTCCACTTAACTATTGCTCGTTGCAACAGGGGATATACAGCACCAGAATATGCAATTCATGGCCATTTATCAGAGAAAGTTGACATCTACAGTTTTGGCATTGTCATCCTCGAGATCATCAGTGGGCGACGGAGTACTGACTTACAAATTGAGCCTGTAACTGAGTATCTCCTAGAACAGGTAATTTCTTGTCTGAAGAATTAAGCAGCCAGTTTATCTTGATATATTATTCAACATTTTACTTCTGTATATATGTATCATTTTAATTATAATAAATATAGGCATGGAAATTGTACGAGAATGATGAACATCTAGGACTGGTGGACAATAATTTAGACCCAAATGAGTATGACGCAGAGGAAGTGAAGAGAATGTTGGAAATAGCATTATTGTGCACCCAATCACCCTCGAATATAAGGCCAAGCATGTCAGAACTGGTGGTCATGCTTTCAAGTACTGATGCCTCAATCATTCAAAAACCGCAAAACAGGCCAACCACTATTACTGATTTCAATAAGAGGATACCTACAACTACAAACACTTCAAGAATTACTAATGCCACCATTTCATTTTCTCGTTTCTCAGGCCGCTAGCTATTCCTATTTTAATCTTGCTAGCTTGCTTGTGAATTATGATGTGTTTGTATATATTTATTTATTTATAGATTTTTTATGAATAAATAAATATAGTTATGTACGTAGAATAATATTTGAGCATGTCTGTAAGTAAATGATTTTTTTGTACGTTACAAAAAAAAAATAAAAAAAAAATTAAAGACTTGTAAATACCTGATACCATGAGATTTCTCAAAATGCCTATTAGATTCTCTACTAAAGGAATATTTCCCAATATTATTTCTGGAAATAAAAAATCTAAAAAAATAAATAAAATAAGTTTATTCTTAGCTTTGAAATGTTAGTCTATTCTTGATCGACTTATTTTATGAGCTAAACCTGGTATAATAATAGTCTCCTAGAATATATTTATAGTTATTTACTAATGTTAACTAACACAAAACACTTTAAACCCAGCCGTGACCCCAAACCAGGGATTGGAATGAGGATACATTTTTTTTTTTTTTTTGAAAGTGGAATGAGGATACATTAATTATATGTCAAAGTTAAGATTAAGTAAGGGAGATTATTCAAAAGGAATAGATAAAAACACGTAGTTTAAATTTTTATCAATTCAGTCTTTAATAATATTGACAATCACGTAGTTTCATTATTCAAAAGGAATAGATAAAAATCATGATTACCTCCTTATATTAAGCAATCAAAGCATGATATATAATAGGAAATAAAAAATTAAAGTGAGAAATGAGAGTACATGTAAAATTACTCTAATTAGGTTCAGCAGTACTAAAACAAAAGTGGATCATTAGGCACTAATATTTTATAAAACTTATTTTCATCTGATTCACACCAATAATTTACGTATTAAGAATATTTTGTATTGAAAAATTAGACTGAAATTAAGCAAATAAATTTATAATTATATAAGTTAAAATTAGCTAATTGATTAAATAATATAATAATTCAACATTCTAAACAAATCGTAACAAAAATGAAACATGCCGTTACTATAAGCTTTTTTTTTTTGGTAGGAATAAGGGCCTAAGGCCCCGGGATGTTAATAAACTCTTCTAGTTGCAACACTATTGCCGTCCCGCATAAGGAGCGGGATTAGCCCAGCAGGAGGATCATGAAGAATCGTCGTTCCCCACGTAGAAGTCTGATCGAAGTTGGCGAGATAATTAGCACACTGGTTTCCTTCCCGGAGGACATGAGTGAGATTGAAATTATTGAAGCTGTGGAGAAGTCTCTTACAATCAAGAATAAGAGTCTTTGACCATTAAAGGACTAGCCTCAGCATGGAGGACTTGAATAATGGCCATTTGAATCATATTCTGCTTCAATATTAACAAAGTCATTCTGTTTTGCAACGCCAAGGTCTTTCCAGAGTCCCCAAAGCTCCGCGACAAAGCTGTTAGTGATCCCAATTCTAGTAGTGAAGCCCATCAACCAAGTCCCTTTGTTATCACGAAGAAGACCTCCAACGCTAGCCATATTAGAGGCTGCTTTCTTTGCACCATCGGAGTTGAGTTTTATTATACCGACGAGCGGGGGAGTCCAGTGTACCCAGATAGCTATTATATAGTAGTGGAGTTTACTCAATTCATACCTTCGAATATTGATTGTGAATAGACATCTCTTGTCATAAAAAAAAATAGCTAATTAATTAAATAATTGAACACCGCATTCAAACCGTAGACAAAATGAAGCATGCCATATTGCAGAATATTATATAGTCATAAAATTTATCCAATTCATATCATCAAATAGTTATTACAAATTTGTCATGTGATCTAAAAAATTAACGACTAATTAATTAGATAATTCAAAACTGCATTCAAACCGTAGCCAAAACGACACAAGTCATAACTGCGGTCAACTATGCATGGCCCTCAAAGTCATAACTGCGGTCAAGAATGCTCAGCACCTTAGTCTTCGTCATCGGTCAACTGTTCAATTTTTTATTTCAGCAAATTTGAATTTTAATCATAGAGCATTGTAGTACTATTACATTTTATTATGCTTTTATAAAATTTTAACACATTACATTTTGATTTCCAATACTGTTTAATAATTTTGATTGATACGTAATTTCATTATTCAATTAAAATGATTTATGAGATAATGAGAAAATTTGTATGTTGTGACAAAAAAACTTGAATAATGAAATTATATGCTAGTTCTTTTTGTTCACCTTTTTTTTTTTCGGATTGAAAATGATAAGGAAATTCAACTCGCAAAATCAAGCACTATAAGAACACTGCCACCCCAAATTATATTGACTATGGAGGTTGAATAATTTATAATAATTCACTTGAAACTTACCTAAATTAATCAAATGAATATTTTTAGTAACATCCATGTTATTTGACATAGTCAATGGACCACTGAAAAATGAAAGACATGTAAGATATATATATGTTAAATATAATATTATGTAAGCAAAATGAATGTGGCAAAAAAATTGTGTATTTCTCTTTTCCTCGTTGAGCCTGCTAGCTAGCTACAGTGGTCGAAGATGGGAAGCTCAGGCAGGTGGTGGTGGTTGGCGGTGATGATGTTGGTGGTATCAGTATCAGAACCTGCGTTCTCCGACCCACAAACCAACCAAATAGGCAGCCTGGGTTGCAGCAACTACCATCTTACCGATGCGGACGCGCCAGATTATATCAGGGAACTCAACCTCAGCTTTGCTGATCTGAGAACCCAGTTATCCAGCGCCAACAAACGCTTTGCCACCTCCACTCAGCGGACTGTCTACGCAATGGTACAGTGCAGAAAGTACCTCTCCACTGCGGACTGTGTGGCCTGTTTCAATGCCGCCGTGTTAGTAACCCGAGACTGCCCCATCGTCGCCAGCTCTGCTATTGTCATATTTGATGGCTGCTTCCTAAGGTGAGTTGTAGTATGCTTAGTCGCCTTTTTAGTTGAGATGGAACACGTGCTTCGTTCAATCCTGTAGGTGCCTTTGTTTTAATTTGTATAGGTACCGCAATAGTTACTTCTACGACCAGATTACAGATGAGGTTATAGGAGGAACCAATCGAGTTTGTGGTAAACGAACAACCAGCAAACAAGATAATTTCAATGCGACAGCACAACAACTACTAAATGAGCTTCTACATGCGACGCCCAGAATTAATGGCTTTTACGCTGCAGCTAAGGAACCTCCTGGTCCTGGTGGTGCTACCACCTATGCGGTGGCGCAATGTGCTGAAACCGTGAGTGAAAGCAGCTGTCAAGATTGTTTGTCATTAGCTTACAATAACATAAAGAGTTGTTTACCTAATTATGCGGATGGAAGAGCTGTTGATGCTGGATGTTTCTTGAGATATTCAGACACCCCTTTTTTTGCTGATAACCAGACAACTCCCCTTAATTCTCCAGGGAGTAGTTCAGGGAAGAAGAAACCTATTCTTCTTGCGGGTGTAGTCGGTACTGTAGGGATCATTTTGGTATTAGCAGCCCTTTTCCTTTGGTATCTGCAATCAAGAAAGCAAAATGCTTGGTTAAGAGGTGAATTGAAGCTCATTTAGTGGTAGTACAGTCATCATATTGTATAATTAAATTGTTTATGTATGTGTTAACTTATTATGGACTGTCTTCTTCTATATATAGGCAATATTTTGGGGGCAAAGAGCTACATATATAAAGATTTGAAAGCTGCAACAAATGATTTCAGCCAAGAAAATATACTAGGCAAAGGAGGTTTTGGTTATGTATATAAGGTGATCTGAGTAACAATTCATGAGGGCAGAATGAATTTCAGAATATATAAGCAAAGATGCCACTCTGATCTTGTATGACTAAATTGCAGGGCACCCTACAAAGCGGGGATGTGGTGGCAGTAAAGAAACTGACAACAATTTCTAGTAGAGCAAAGGCCAACTTCGAGACTGAAATTAGTCTTATTACAAATGCGAATCATCCCAATCTCATTCGTCTATTGGGATATTCTGGTAATGGAAAAGTGCTCATACTGGTTTATGAATACATGCCAAATGCCAGCCTTGACAGATACATATATGGTACTCACATCCTCAAACATTATATTGTACATAAATGAGTAGTAGTATTTCTTTTATGTATAAATAAAACTTTTCCCATCCATTTTTCATGATTGAATTGGCAGGAGTGAAACGGGGAATGCTGAATTGGAAGCAAAGGGTTGATATAATATTGGGAACAGCTAGGGGTCTTGCCTATCTGCATCAACAGTTTGATATATGCATCATACACAGAGACATAAAATCCAGCAATATACTACTTGATGACGAATTCCAGCCCAAAATAGCTGATTTTGGTTTAGCAAGGCTTTTACCAGAAAATAAGAGCCATCTTACAACTAAATTTGCAGGGACTTTGTAAGCCTAACACCCTTATTTTGTTTTTCCACGTTAGTTTTCTTTTAATTTCCACTTAACTATTTCTCGTTGCAACAGGGGATATACAGCGCCAGAATATGCAATTCATGGCCATTTATCAGAGAAAGTTGACATCTACAGTTTTGGCATTGTCATCCTCGAGATCATCAGTGGGCGACGGAGTACTGACTTACAAATTGAGCCTGTAACTGAGTATCTCCTAGAACAGGTAATTTCTTGTCTGAAGAATTAAGCAGCCAGTTTATCTTGATATACTATTCAACATTTTACTTCTGTATATATGTATCATTTTAATTATAATAAATATAGGCATGGAAATTGTACGAGAATGATGAACATCTAGGACTGGTGCACAATAATTTAGACCCAAATGAGTATGACGCAGAGGAAGTGAAGAGAATGTTGGAAATAGCATTGTTGTGCACCCAATCACCCTCGAATATAAGGCCAAGCATGTCAGAACTGGTGGTCATGCTTTCAAGTACTGATGCCTCAATCATTCAAAAACCCCAAAACAGGCCAACCACTATTACTGATTTCAATAAGAGGATACCTACAACTACAAACACTTCAAGAATTACTAATGCCACCATTTCATTTTCTCGTTTCTCAGGCCGCTAGCTATGCTTATTTTGATCTTGCTAGCTTGCTTGTGAATTGTGATGTGTTTGTATTTATTTATTTATAGATTTTTTTATCCATAAATAAATATAGATATGTATGTAGAACAAAATATAAGCATTCTATAAGTAAATGATTTTTTTATGTTACAAAAAAAAAAAAAAAATTAAAGACGTGTGAATACCTGATACCATGAGTTTTCTCAAGATGCCTATTAGATTCTCTGCAAAAGGAATAGTATCTTCTCACATCAGCTTGGACATTACCAATAGTCATTGCAAGAGCAGTCCCCTTTTTCAAAATGGTGGAACCTATTTGTATCTCTCAATATAATTCTTCTCCGTGTTACTTCTGACACAAATTTCATCCAAGTGTGACAATCTGCACAAACACGAAGATTCTTCGTGATCCTAATGGGAACTCCAGAACCTGTATTAATCAACCCGAATACTGTTGCTAGCCTTTCACTGTGCCCACATACCCACTCTGCCTTCATTTCTTCATTCACATCATGAAGAACAACGCCTGTATCGGGTTTATACCCAACTGCTTCAATAGCTTCCTCTAACTCATTCCATATTTTCTTATATTCATCTGAATTACGGAGTTCAAAACCACCACTAGCCACGAAAGTGTGCACTTTACTTTTAACCTGTATCCAGCTGCATCCAGCATCTTTTTTAACTCCCCTCTTCTCCATCATCTCCCTCAGCTTTTTAACTCTCTCCCAACTCCCAGCTTTAGCATAGATGTTCGACAGCATTATATAGTTTCCTGCATTGTTCGGTTCTATCTCAAAGAGTCGTATTGCCACCGCCTCTGCAAGAGAGACGTTTCCATGGATTTTACATGAATTTAGCACTGATCCCAAAACGCTACCACTTGGTTTCATAGGCATCGTTTTCACTACTTGCAAAGCCTCTTTGATTTTCCCGGCTCTACCTAATGCATCCACCAAACAAGCATAATGCTCTACAAAAGGCTCGATTCTGAACTCTGCACTCATTCTCTCGAACAATACTTGCCCAAGATCGGTAAGCCCTTTGTGGCTACAACCAGACAATAAAGCAATAAATGTCACCCCATCAGGCTCAACTCCACAGCCAGCCATCTCACCAAACAACTCCATAGCTTCTGCCATAAGTCCATTGATTGCACACCCATTAATCATAGTATTCCATGATGTTAGATCCTTGTACTTCATTTTGTCAAACACTCTTCGACAGTACTTTATTTCTCCACATTTGGCATACATATCCAAGACTGAATTGAGCACTAGAACGTCCGGTGTCCCAGATGATTTCACAATTTGAGCATGTATCTCTTTCCCACTGTAAATTGATGTTAGATCAGCACACAATGCCAAAACTGTAGTAAAAGTTACCCAGCTATACCCCACCTCTGCTCTTTGCATTCTCCGGAAGGTTTCAAAGGCCTCAAATACCATATCTCTCTTAACAAAACCCGAAATCAAAGAGTTCCAGCTTACAACATTCCTTTCAGGCATTTTCTCAAACACCTTCAGCACATCTTCGAAGCACCCACATTCCATGTACATAGTCAAAAGGCCATTGTATACAACTTGGTCAGGCTCCGTAGTAGATTTTATAATCTGGGCATGAACCGCTCTACCGACTGTCAAGTCCAACAAATCCGAACAAGCCTTCACCGCTACGGAAAATGCAAAATTCCCGGGCCCGTTGACATGGGACAGCATTTCAGAATAAAGAAACAGTGCTTCTTTGGAACACCCATTTTTGGAGTACCCAATAGCCATCGCCACCCAGACAGACTCGGGCAGGTCCTCGGCCTCAACACCATGCTCGAAAACACGACGAGCCTCGTCGAGCCGGCCACAAACAGAGAAGAGGGTAATAAACTTGGATTTCAGTACAGGGTTGCTGAGAAAGTCACCGTTGGCGTGGTGGAGGAGAAGGTGGAGATATAGCCTTTGGCCGTGTTCGAACGATTTTCTTGAAATGCAGGCGTGGAGGACGGCGGCATAGGAGTCCGGACTGAGGTGGGTGGAGGGAGATTTCAATGGTTGGGATTCGATCAGGTGAAGAGCTTCGTCTAATTTGCCGCTTTTGGAGAGAGATTTGATTGTTGAGTTTAGAGGTTTGGTGTTTAGCTTATGGAGTTTCTGGGGAGTTGAGGTGGCCGTTATGCCGGTGTTGGAGATCGTTAAAGTAGTTATTTGAGAAACGGCCATTAGAGCCATTCTTGGAGAGAAGTGTTTGCTGTTACAGTGTTCTTTTTCATAGGATCACTCTATCCTATATAGTTTGGCCTTTTGCAATTTCGAAGCCAGAACCTTTCACCATATTATCAAACTTATATCAACTTGAATGATGTATTTTGTCTCAATTATACTAAATTGAAATTAAAATATGTATACATTTTGACTCAATTAAATGTTGTGTTAGGATCAAGTGTGTATTACAAAGTCAAAAACTATAATTTATAGCAAAGGATTAGGGATGGCAATATGCCCCGTTCCCGATGGGTATCCCCGATTCCCACCTCGACGGGGACGAGAATTGTGAAAATTTTCGGAGAACGGGGACGGGGACGGAGACGGGAATTACATGCAATTCCCCACTGGGGACCGGGATACCCCGCCTCGTCCCCGAATAATTTTTATAAATAAATAAATAAATAAATAAATAAATATATATATATATATATAAAATACTCGGGGATGGGGAGTATTTTCAATTCCCCGCAGGAGATGGGGACAGGGACGGGGACGGGGACGGGGTTGGCGTTTCGGGGACGAGGATGGGGAATGTACTTCCCGCCCCCGCTCCGCCCCATTGCCATCCCTACAAAGGATAACTTATTTTCTTACATAGTCGTCACATTTTTTAGAGACAGAGTGCTGGACTTGAACCAAACTTGGCATTTCAGACCAACTAAATGTTGTGTTAGGATCAAGCGTTTATCACCAAGTTAAAAGTTATAGCTTATAGCAAATGAACAACTTTAGTTTTTTATACCGTTGTCACATTTTCGAGAAGCGGGTGCTGAATTTGACCTAATTTAACATTTCAGACCTCCGTCCAACAATTTCCTAGCCACCGAGTGTCGGACATGACCCTTGACCCTTTACTCTTTACCGGCCACTCGCCGAACATGTTGAAATGACAGTGAGAAGAATCATGGAAGGATCTGTATACATGGACTGTAAATATGATTTATAAATAAATTTCCTCCCATACAAAGTGGCAGATTACAAATTGTGCTGAATTTACAATTTAGAGCCATCTACATATGAACAGGTTGGAAACCAAGGTCTATAGAATTTTTAACAGCATCCAGCACTAGTTGAGTCAATCTGCTGCTGTGAGGCCACTTGTGCTCTGGTTTTCTTCCCAAGAATTTGATGGCATTCACTAGCTCAGAGAACTCCATAACCATCATAGCTTCTTGGGGCAACTGTGAAGCCACATGAACCTCCTCAGGTTGAGCATTCCACCCGACGTGGAGATCCAAAAACTTAGAACCAGAAGCGAAACTAAAGGCAGCAGACGTCTCTTCAAAGGGGATTATGAAGTCATTGACACAGAGCGATCCCTTGGAGCCACAGACTAGTATGTCCATCGACTCGTGTGCAAGAAAGGAGCAGAAAAATGTTGCAACAGTTCCTTCATCCCAGTATAAAGATGCGCTGCATGCCAATATGACCCCGGCTGAGTTTTTCTCTATAGCAGGCAGCGCAACCACAGTTGTTGGCAGCTTTTGGTTCATAGCCCACAATATGGAACCAATGCAGTACCATCCAGCGTCTCCCAGTGCGCCTAGGGCATCCAAGTCCGGTTTCACTCTTATGTCGTTTTCAAGAAATGCTGGAGGTGCTGCATAAGATGATGAGCTGTGGATCTTGGCATGCAAAGAAATGTCTGGTTAATGGAGTGCCAATAGCACTTCATGAAGTGAAATAGAGCTATAGAAACATCCATTTTGTTTTATAAATACTCCTACTATACATACACCACAACCACTAAATACACAAACACAAACATACTCTTACACAACAACATAGAAACACCGAGTTAATACCAGCTGGATCCTCCGAGTATAGTGGCACCACCACGTTTAGTTCTGAACTTTCAATTTAACTAATTTAACCATTAGTTTAGTAAGGGCAAAAGTTAGATAAAATTTTAAAATTCATTAGTTTAGTAAGGGCAATGCCACTATTCTCGGAGCACCCCATCTGGTATTAACTTAGAAACATATGATGTTTCTTCCCCATCTGGTATTAACTCTAGAAACATATGATGTTTCTTCACATACAATTTAGGACTACTTAGTAGTTTAGCTTCAGTCTTAAAGAATCAATTAATCAATCATCACTAACTAAATTAGGCAACTAAAATACAACAATTTGTTAGATGGAGTATGAAATATTCATAAACAATACTAGACTTCAATCAACTTAATTCGAATATGCTCAAAATGAAGATATCTGCCCCACAACAAGGAAATTTCGGCTGGGCATTTAACCAAACACTTACCGAGTTGACTTGTCCGAAGATGTCAGAATCGGATAGAAATTCCTTCATCTTGGCAGTCCTAGGATGATGATACCACATGCTAGCATCCATAAACTGAACCCCATTTTTCTCACAGGCATCAAGAATCTTATCGAGCTCATCCACGTTCAGGGCAGTAGGTTTCTCAAGCAGCAAGTGCTTCTTCTTCTCCGCAGCCAAGACTGCCCAATGGGCGTGAAGGCTTGTCGGAAGCGGCATGTAAACTGCATCCACCGACGGGTCATCAAGCAATTCGTTGTAGCTGCCGTAGATCTTAACCGTTTCTGCTAAGCCATTCTTGACTGCAAACTGCTTCGCTTTGTGCACTGAACGGCTAGCGACGGCGTGAAGAGTGGCGTTGGGGGCTAGGTGTATGGCTCTGGAGACCTTTCTTGCTATCTCAGCGCACCCCATTATGCCAAAACGAATTGTGCTCTCCTCGGCCATTTTCCTCCCTTCCCGGAACGCATTCAACTATTCAAGCACAGAGTTTAACTCTTTGATGATTTTGTAACCTTCATTTTGGATTTTGGATTCAGTCTGAAATGAAGCAAGTACTGAGAACCACAAGATTTTGTTTTTGTTTTTATTTTTTTTTGGATTGGGAAGGACAGTATTTTATTGTCATGCAATTAATTAGGTAAATTAGTAAAAGCTTGAGGGTATAGGATGAGATGGGAGCTATTAAAATAAAAATATAAGATTAGAGTAATTAATTATTTTATTGCCAAGCATCTTGGGGTCTAGTGACATTAAAAATTTAAAATTGCTTTTCCATGTAAGAGATTGTGGGTTTAAGTCTCACTATCAATATGTGATATTGACTCTTTAATTATTTTATTGGATCTTTACTACGATAAAGAATTTGCAAATAAGAATTGAGCATATTGTTACTGGCATTCATTTTCTAAATCAGCAAATTTCAATTTTAATCATCAATTATTATATTATCGTATTTAGTTATACTTTTTTAATTTTAATTCACTATATCCTTAATTTTAATTACAATTAGTCCTTTGAAGGAAGGCTAATATAGAATTTTATTATTCAAGCCACTTGTCTCAAGTTCTGTAAACATTGTTAATTAAATAATAAAATTACATGTTAACCATTTTTATGAAATCATTGAATGACAAAAATTTAAACAAGACTAATTGTGACAATTAAATAAAAATCAAAGATGAAATGCGATAAAATTAAAAGAATATGATTAAATATAAAAATACTACAATAGTTAAATACTAAAATTGAAATTTGCTCGGCTGCCGGGAAATTCGTTATTTCTAATCAAATTTTTCGTTCAACCGAAAAGTTTGCCAACTTTCAAAAGGTGCACAAAGAGTCAACAACGCCTTCACTGAAGCTTGATCTCATGACCTCTCACATAGAAAAGGTCACTACATGCCATCTAAGAACAATGTGTTTGGCTAATAAGTAAGAAGTTAAAATGGTAGGTTTGACCATCTACCAACCAACAATGTTGAATGGAAATGGGAGTATTTAAATACCCACCTACACGTTTCAACTCATTTTTTGCAACTTTCCTCCATTTTTACTTTCCTCGCTCTATAGTTTAGGACTTACTTCTTTGTTCCATATCAGCACAGGTAACAACTTTTGGTGTGATTTATGACAAAGAATATTCCGAACTGAGGTATGTGTTAAAAATATTAGCTTTTAATTTGTGTGTGTATATGTATGTGTGTCTGTGTTTTTTTTTTAATATATATACACTTGAAGACACTTGAAATGATATTAAATATCTTTTATTGTGGCTATATATATATATATATATATATATATATATATATATATATATGTATGTATATGTATGTATGTACTTGAAAGGGATTACTCTCCTTCCACATTGCCAACAAACCCATTTTATTTTTCAGAAGTAATGCTCTGTGCCAAATCTTGATTAATGAATAGTTTTTGAGTTAGTATCCTATGAAACTGTGTGGTATCATGATAGAAATGTAATACTTATGCTATAAAATGTAATACTAATCAAGAATAAATTATTTGTTACTTATAAGGAAAAGTGTAATATTTAGAGTTATAGTTATTTATAGAGTTAACACCATCTGAGATCTTCCGAGTATAGTGGTTTTGTCACGTTTAGTCCTAAACTTTCAAATTGACCATCTGTGGTCCTTCGAGTTTCAAATTTAACCATTTATGGTCCAAGTTAACCACTCATAATCCTTCAACTATTAAATTTGAATCAACCATGGTCCTTTCAAGAGGACCACGATTAGTTAAATTTTGAAACTTGAAGGACCACGAGTGGTTAACTTGGACCACGAATGGATAAATTTGAAAGTCAAAGAATCGGAGATGGTCAATTTGAAAGTTTAGGACTAAACCTGGTAAAACCACTATATTCGGAAGATGATGGATGGTATTAACTCTTATTTATAATAATTTTTTTTTTAAAAAAAAAGGTAATACTAATCATGCATAAATTGTTTAATTGTTATTTATGAGAAAAAGCGTAATACTTATGATTAAAAATACAATATTTTTGATAAAAAAAATTGTAAATACATTTGATAAAAAAGTGTACAAAGGTGTATGTATAAGCACTAGAGATAGGCTATAACCACACATTTCAATTTTGAAAGTCCAAGTAGAGAGTAATCCTCTCAACCTCGTTCCTATAACTCTAACTAACACTTAAGATTATATTATTGATTTGTTTCAAAATCTTAGAAAATTTGGTGGTTAGAAGTGTAACTGCTTCATCATCAAGTTCATCAGTGTCTAAGACAGTTGAGTCGTCATCATCAACAACAAAGGCCACTTACTTACCTTTCTTGACACTTGTCTCCTTGCTTAGAATCTCCATCTCATAAATGTGTAGGCCGGCTTCCAATAATTAAGTTGAGCTACCTGAGCATGACATTTACATAAGTAAATAATTATGGACCAAAACAATTAGCCATACATAATTGAGGATGAAAAACACAAATTTGATTTCTAAACTATTACATATGTCACCATTGATTAGATTTAACTTTTAATTATATCAGTAATTTGCTACTTCTTTTAGTCTTAACGGAAGATTCAAACCAATATATGTGAAAATTAATAAAAGTATCATATTTTTAAAAGGTAAAAGCAAATTTTGAATTTAAAAAGTAAAAGTATATAAAAAAAATAGTTTGGGAATCAAACTTAGGATGAAAATTTCAATCCGCCTTACGTATATCCACCCGAATTCACCTCGCATAGATTGAGTTTTTTTGGGGTGATAATAGTGGGTGGTGAGTTGGGGTCAATCGTTATATCCTACACCACGGCGCACATAGCATTGTGCGCCGCGCGCCTCCCAAAACGACGTCGTTTTGGGTAGTGTTGGGAGGCGCGGTAGGAAGTTGCTGAGATTATGTGTATTTGTTCACAACGTTATGTGTATTTGTTCACAACGTTATGTGTATTGGTTCATACAGTTATGTGTATTTTTTATACAATTATGTACATTCTTTTTATACAATTATGTACATCCGAATCAGAAAATTTGTGTGTATTATGTTAAGAGTTGATGTATATTATGTTAAAAGTTTATGTTTATTATGTATTATGTTAGATTATGTGTATTATCTTTTAAAAAGAGTATGTATATTTTGTTATATAATTATGTACATTCATATATAACATTATGTGTATTCTAGTATAACATTATGTACATTCTTGAACAGCGGGTTTTTTTTTAAAGAAAAAACTACTGCCATTCACTGGGGCGGGAAATTTCAAAAAAAAAATAAAATTAAAACGACGTCGTTTTGCATCTGGGCGCATAGTGCAACGCGCGCCGTGGTGTAGGATATAAATTGCCAGTTGGGGTAGATCTTAAAATTTTAAACTTGCTGCGGGTCAGGTTGGACTCGGATTTTATGTACAAAACCCGTCTAGAACCTCACCCGACCCACCATGTATATGTAAATTATACAAGTTTATAAAACTTTTATGTATGTAATTATACAAGTTTGTAAAACTTTTATTGAATTTTTTTTTTCCTATTTTTAGTTCTAAACTAATAAGTTTATTTAAAAACGTTAATAATTTAGTTATTATATTTGAATATTTATATTATTTTTATGTTTTAATATAACTAGTGAATTTTATTATTTTATTATGTGTAAGTAATGTAAAACTTTTATTGAATTTTTTTTTTTTACTATTTTTAGTTCTAAACTAATAAGTTTATTTAAAAACGTTAATAATTTAGTTATTATATTTGAATATTTATATTATTTTTATGTTTTAATATAACTAGTGAATTTTATTATTTTATTATGTGTAAGTAATTTAAATATTATTTAATTTTTTTAATAATATAATAAGTGGTGGATACCCGTAATGGACACCCAGTGAAATGGGTGTGCGCTTTGAAAAAGTTCACCAGATACAAATTGGAGTGGGGTGTATGGAAAAAATATAAAGTGAGTCAGGTATTTGAAGAAAAAAAAAACTTGTATATTAATAAAGAAAAAAAAAAACTTAAGTATTTGAAGAATTACCATTTTACAACTTTAAGTTTGAAATGTGACATTACAACAATTTATCTGAGTCATCAAAATTCGATTGGACCATCTTTTTCCAAATATCTAATGCACGATGTGTAAGGTCTTGGTCTTTGTCTCACTGAGCTGTAGTAATGATAGTTTTTCCAATAATGTTTTAAGTCAAAATCATGCATTAACGATATATAATACAACAAACAGTGACTGATTTAGACTTCCAAACGTACCCAACACACTAAAGAGTAAAGAGGGCTGTTTGGATGCATTACAACTGCCCCAAATTTAATTTAAACCTCCAAACGTGATATTTTCAAAATTTCCTCATTTTATATTTTGGAATAAGGGTCAAATAGGTCATCTAATTACACACCAAAATGTAATTAGGTCACTGAACTCAAAAAACCTACAATTAGGCCCCTGAACTACACGAATTCATTCAATTTAACCTAAAACGACTTTTTTACTTATTAATGTAATGATGTGTCGGTTTTTTTTATTTAAAATTAATTTTTAAAATTTTATTTTAATAATCATAAATAAATTAATTATTTTAAATTAAAAAAAAAATAGCCCGCCGGAGATGAAGGGAACCTTCGTCTCCGGGCAGCCAGCCCGGCATGGAGATGAAGGAGACTTCGTCTCCATGGCCCGACGGGAGACGAAGGAGACTTTGTCTCCATGGCCTGCCCGGTCTCCTTCGTCTCCAGCCGGCCATGGAGACGATCCCCTTTGTCTCCATGGCGGCCGGAGACGAAGGGGACTCTTCGTCTCCCTTGGTGATTGCCCGGAGACGAAGGGAGACGAACCCTTCGTCTCCGGGGAGTTGTTTTTTTTATAAAATTATTAAAATAATTATTTTATTTATAATTATTAAAATAAAATTTTAAATAAAGGAACCGACACGTCATCACATTAATAGGTAAACAAGTTATTTTAGGTTAAATTGTATGAATTTGTGCAGTTTAGGGACTTAATTGTAAGTTTTTTGAGTTTAGTGGCCTAATTACATTTTAGTGTGTAGTTGGATGACCTATTTCACCCTTACTCCTTATATTGTTAGCACTAGTATACAAACATTTGTGACTTATAACTTATAAGTATAGTTAAGGTAAATATCGTGATTATCATCCATTAATATTAATATTTTCTATCGACCAGCCACCAAGAAAGGTGTTTGAGTGGTAGAACAGGACAAGCTTGGGGTAATTTCCAAGTGATAGGAAAATTAAAATACCAAATTAATTTCTACCGAGGTCTCCCCTCCTCTTAATGATTTGGCCGAGCCAACTGTACTAATTACACTGCTATATATTTATTTATTTATGCCTGGGCATAACATTTACAATTTTGAATCCCAGCATCATATCATCACAAGCAAGCTAGATTAAAAAAAAAAAAAAAAAAAAAAAAAAAACAGATTTCATAAAAAGCCTAGCGGCCTGAGACACCAGTGAATGAAGCAGTGGCATGAGAAGTGGATGATGCTGTAGTGGCTGAAGTGTCTGTGATTGCGAATACCCTCTCATCGAAATCACTAATCATGGATGGCCTCCTTGGTTTGTTTTGAAAGATTGGACGGTCACTTGAAGAAAGCATGATCACCACTTCCGACATGCTTGGCCTTAGACTCGGGGGTGATTGGGTGCACACCAAAGCAATCTCCAACATTCTCTTCACTTCCTCGGCTTTATACTCATTACCCTCTAAAGTCTTATCCACCAGTTCCAGATAGGCCTCATTCTCGTACAGTTTCCATGCCTGTATAATAATTATGCACAAGAGTCGTCAAATAATAATGTTACGTTATGAGTTGAAGATTCAAATCAAGATATACCTGTTCAAGGAGATACTCAGTTACGGGTTCAACTCGAATGTCACTGCTCCTTCGCCCACTAATGATCTCTAGGATGACGATGCCAAAACTGTAGGTGTCAACTCTCTCAGATAAATGACCATGAATTGCATATTCTGGCGCTGTATATCCTCTATTTCAACAACCAATCTATAGTTAGTTCAGTGAAAATATAATATGTGATAAAGAAATAAGGTAAGGGTGTTAGGCTTACAAAGTCCCTGCAAATTTGGTGCTAACATGGCTCTGATTTTCAGGCAAAAGCCTTGCCAAACCAAAATCAGCAATTTTGGGCTGAAATTCATTATCAAGTAGTATATTGCTGGATTTGATGTCTCTGTGTATGATGCATACATGGAACTGTTCATGCAAATACGCAAGACCCCTAGCTGTACCAAATATTATATCAACTCGTTGCTTCCAATTCAGCATCCCCCGTTTATCTCCTGCCATTCCCATTCATGAAGAAAGTAACCATATATCAGATCATAATAAATTACTAATCAAAGCAATGTTTTAGGAGCTAGCTAGCACTTACCATATAAGTATCTGTCAAGGCTGGCATTTGCCATGTATTCATAAACCAGTAGAAGCTCTTCTCCTTTGGCAGAGCATCCCAATAGACGAATGAGATTGCGATGATGGACATTTGTAATAAGCCTAACTTCACTATCAAAATCTGCCTTTGCTCTACTCGAAATCACCAGTTTCTTTACTGCAACCACATCCCCGTTCTTTAGTGTCCCCTGCAGGATAGGATGTTTAGTCATACAAGAATTTTAAGATTTACTTCTTATTTATATTACTCAATCTATCACCTTGTATACATCACCAAAACCTCCTTCCCCCAGTTTATTCTCTTCACTAAATGCTTTTGTGGCAGCTTTCAAATCTTTATATCCATAGTTCTCTGGACCTCTCAACTGAGTTGCCCCCAATATATCCCCTGTTCAATTGAAGAAGACATACAGTAAAAGTTCTATATATATAAAAAAGATTGGATATGATGATCGACTACCTCTTCTTGCTGCCTTTGGCTTTTTTGATTGTAAATACAAAAGGAAAATGGCTGCTAATACGATTATGATTCCTACACCACCGACTACACCTGCAATAATAGCTTTCTTCTTTCCTGAACTCCCTGGAGAAGATGGATATGATGTTACCATCCAGTTACAGAATATATGCAGGGTAAATTAAAATTTATTTAATTTATACCTCCTCCTCCTTCTAGGAAGGGTGCTAGGTTGATTGTCTGGTTTTTGGCAAAGAAATGTTTGTCTGAGTATCTCATGAAGCACCCAATGCCAACAGCCCTTCCAACTGAAGATATCGGTAAACAAGTCTGTATGCTACTGTAAGCTATTGTCAAACATGCCTGACAGCCGCTTTCATCGAGTGTTTCAATACACTGTGCCACCGCAAAGGCGGCGGCGCCAGTAGAGACCCGCTTTGCTGCAGCGAAAAACCCATTAATTCTGGGCGTTGCAAATTTGAGATCATTCAGAAGTTGTGTTGCTGTGGTATTGAAAACATCTTGTTTGCGGGCAGTTCGTTTCCCACAAATGGGATGGCTTCCCTCGTCTGTAATCTGAGCGTAGAAGATAGTGGACTCGTACCTGGACGTAGTATTTATCATATATAACAACTAAAATCAAGTGTCAGCAAAAATCGCGCCTAATCACAATCGGTGCCTAGGCACTAGGTGCTCGGCCTCCCAGGCTGTCTAGGCACCTGCCTAGGCGTTCTAGGCGGTCCAGGCAGGGCGCCTAGGAATTTTTTCAACATTGGCTAAAAAAGAATCAATTAACTAGCTAGCTAGGTAACTCGATCACCTGAGGAAGCAACCATCAAAGATGACACGAGCACCGGTGGCGAGGGAGCAGTTCCGGGCCACTGACACGGCGGCGTCGAAACAGGCGACACAGTCAGGGTTGGAGAGGTAGTTTCTACACTGTGCCAATGCATAGATAGGATGGACGGCAGTGCCAGTGGTGGCAAAGCGTTTGTTGCTTTTGGATAACTGGCGTCTCAGATCAGAAAAGCTGGCGTTGAGTTCCTTGGCATAATTAGCTGGTGTATCGATAACGTTTTTTGCGCTGCAACCGTTGTCCAGTAGGTTGGTTTGTGGGTTGGAAAACGCAGGTTCTGATATTGATGATACCACCAACATCACCACCGCCAACCACCGCCACCTGCCTGACGCTGCCATATACCACCACTGTTCACTTGGCTCAAGCCCGGAGCTGAGGAGAAATACACAAAATTATTGGCTTATAAAATTAAAAACTAACCTATATATATATAGGATAGGAAGAGGATCATATGTATGACAACAAACTACATACTAAATTAATAATCAATTTCAACTGCCCGCATGGACAGCTCAACTGGTCATAGAGGTGAAAGTTAGAAAGAATGACCATGAGTCTCACGGACCATAATGTGAAAATTGCACAATTCTGATGATTTTTTTTTTTTTTGAAAGAAAGAAAATGTTGTGTTATTTTTATAATTATTGTCAATTTTACCATACAATTATTTTCAATTAGTACATCACAAACCAGCACTTTGTGATACACTACAGTTCAATCACTCAAACGTGCACCGCACTCAACACTTAGTACACCACCAAAATATACATTATAATCCTTGGCCATGGGAGTGATGGGACCAAGGATTATTTGATACACAGACTTACATTGAGGCATGTGTGTATGGAAAAAAAAAATGATATTTTCGAGTTAAATAAAAGAAAATCAAAAATAAAATGGATTGTCGAGGACAGTACCATTTCTAACTTTATATGGATACCCTGGAATGAATGACAGACAACCTTGGCCCAGTGTGGCCATGTGAAATATAATGACATTGATGTATCCCAAACATTATTGGCTTATTCCGTGGACCGTAGTCTACACATATGTGTAGATCATGATCAAAAAAATAAATAAAATATATTATTTTAATACATAAAGTACATTATTTTAACTCATAAATTCATAAAATATATTATATTATTTATCTCAAAAATTTTATTATTATACAATAACACATAAAGTACATTATACATTATTCTAACACATAAAATACATTATACATTATTCTAATTCATAAAATACATTATCTTACCTCAGAAATTTCATTATTCAAACACATACAAAGTTCATTATTCTAATTCATAAAATATATTATTTTATCTCAAAATATTTATTATTCTTACATGTGCACAGAGCATGAATTTTTTAAATATTAAAATAATGTCGTTGCGTGGATCACGATCCACACAATAATTTTCCGATGTATCCTTTCTCTCGTAATAAAAAAACCTATTTCACTAAACATCATCTTCTAGATGATAATTGACTGGATGGCCAAAAGCCTCCGCAACTTGCAGGTCTTCGTTTTCACTAGTTCGAAGCCCCTGCCCACCCATGGTAATGGCTTTGATTTTTAATTTTTATTTTTTGGCATTATCAATGTTTTTAATTTTTTATTTGGTGTTATTATGAGATTTTAATGTTTAGTTGTGTATTAATTATATTATATCGGTCATTGTGTTCCAATCCTTAACTATATGCTGACAAGGTAGTTCAAAGTTTACTCGCGAGTCGCGACAGCCGACAGGCAGGTATATATATATATATTGTTTAGCATTGATCAGCGCCGCTGGCCCATAGGGTAAGTAGCAGTGGAACCCACCATGTTCACCAGCGCCACCGTGCAAAGAGTTATATATCCACATTCACTGATTCTTCCCAAATAAGGTTAAATCTCCAAATCTCTATCCCTAAAGGCCCTCATAACCCGTACAAAATTATAATGTTCTTCTTTTTTTACTCTCAACATCTATGAGTAAGCCAACGCCAACCTAGGAGTGAGAAAAGGGGTAAATTATATCGTGCACCGCGATACATAATCGATTATGCACCGCGCATCAAAACGATGTCGTTTTGTTAAATGAACCGACATTTGTTTTCCGTCGTTCCGCACCCTTCCACAAAAAGTAACTCTGTTATTCAGTTTCATTTTGTATACACTGCAGTTTCAGTTCAATACAACTAAAGTTTCACATTTCGATATAACTACAGTTTCATTCGATATTTATAGACTCAAATATGTGAAAATGTTATTTAATTTTATTTTATATATACTATAGATTTATTAAAACACAACTATATGATCATTTTGATATAATTACAGCTTCATTGTACAATATACACTCAAATATGTGAAATGTTATTCAGTTTCATTTTATATACACTACAGTTTCATTTCACCACAACTACAGTATCATTTTGATATAACTGCAATTTCATTTAATAATATAAAAATAATATGTGAGGCAGTGTCGGTTTAAATATATTGTAATGTCAATTGGTGTTTAATACACCAAACATGCAAACTCCGTTAACGATAACGGCGGACCGTTTTTTTACTTAAAGAAACGGCGTCGTTTTTTTACTTAAAGAAACGGCGCCGTTTTTTTACCGCGGTGCATGTGCACAGCAGTCTACGATATAACGACTGGAGAATAGGTCATGCCCCTTTGTAGGGGCCTAAGGCCTGGCCTAATTAAGGCCTACATAGGCCTGGCTTGTTTAGTTAAAAGGCCAGGCTTGAACCCATTTTGAAGCCTATTAAATTAAACAGGCCAGGCCTATTTATACCAGGTTCGGCCTTCAGGCCTATAAGCCTAGCCTATTTACACACACATATATAATTTATTTGTAACATTAAGTTAGTATATATTCTATTTCATACCTAATATATTTTTTATATTTACAATATAATTCCAAGTATATATAATTATCAAACCCTAACCCTTCATCTCCAAAATCGCATTATAAATTCTGATTCACATTGTTGTTAATCCTATTATATAAGTGTTCTTACTGTTAAATATTTAATGAAGTGTTGTTACGACTTAATTATGTGAGCTGATTGTTAATTATTTATGAGATTATATATAAGATGACAATCATTAATACAATTTAATTTATTCTTAAACAAGTTAACAAGCATGTTGAAGTTGTGATTTGTTTTATTTTATTTTATATATGTTTTAATACTATTATGTTTGCATTGTGGCGACATACTTATGTAGTTATATATTAATTTTGTATTAAGTATATTTCTTAAATTATTTAGAAATAATTATTAAAGTTTTTAAAAAGACTTAATATATAAATTTTAAATGGCAAATTATGCTGTGCAACCGTGTGCACCATGCATGGTGCACACGGAATTAGATCAATAATTTCTATACTATAGATCCATAATTTCTATATTATAGATTCATAATTTCTATACTATATATTCATAATTATTGAACTCTATATTCACAATTACAAAACTCTATGTTCATAATTTTCAATGTTCATATTCCCAATTGTTGAACTCTGTATTCACAAATCACTGAACTATATGTTCATAATTTGATAACTATACAGTTTAGAAATTATGAATCTACAGTATAGAAATTATGAATCTATAGTACAGAAATTATGAATCTATAGTACAGAAATTATGGATCTAATTCCGTGTGCACCTTGCATGGTGCACACGGTTGCACAACATAACGCTCCATTTAAATAGGCTCAAAGCAGAACTTACTTTGAAGTCTTTTTAATAAAATACATATTAAACAGGCTTTTAAACAGGCCAGGCCAGGCCAGACCAATTATAGGCTCAGGCTTGAGCCTAACAAAAAGCCTACATACAGGCTCAGGCCCAGGCTTAGGCCTTAAATTTTCGTAACAGACCCAAGTCTAATTTTCTAAATCTCGGCTCAGCTCAGCCTATTTCCACCCCTAAGCCAACCTCAATCAAATATGTTTTTTCAAAATTTCGTTATCTATTTTATTGCTTTCATTATGTAATTTTAGAGTTTATTACAGTGTGTTACATAAATTTTCAAAAGCAAAATTTGAATTTGGTCATTTAGTATTTATAATAACAACATAACAACAACAACAATAATAATAAGTATGAATATTTTAGACTGTATACTACTTATTCCATTTCAATTTCTATATATACCAAAAATTAGAATCGAAATTTCTAGTAATTCTATTCCGGCAAACCAAACACTAAAATTTAAATTACCACTTTATTATCACATTATTCATTTTATATGAAATTGTAATTCTTTCCCACGTAATTCTCATCTCCAACCAAACTCCCCGTAAATGCTTGATAATATGAAACATTGATTATTTTATTATTTCAACAATTTTAATTTAAAAGGGAACGCTCGCTAAACATTACATCGTAAATCACTTACCGTCAGTTCTCAAAACTATCACAAAAGCGTCATGATTGTTATGATTTATAGCGAATACTTTACAAACCGGATCTAAAATTTATATATTACTATTACTAGTACTAGTACTAGTACTAGTACTAGTACTATAATATATTTAATATAATACCAAATGTTAGATATATTAAATATAATATATTTAATATAATATATATTAAATATAATATAATATATCTATAATATATATATAATATATATTTGAGAAGAGAGAGAGAGAGAGAAGGAGAATTGAATTCACTTGATTGATGTTTGAAAAAGATTGATACACAACATTTTTATAGTAAAGGAGAAATAATAATAAAGCTAAAAATTAGGAATGTATGCTCCATGTACTCCTCCATGTACTCCACATACACTAAGCCACATACTGCATACACACCACCCACTACTTAATTTAATTAACAAACTAATTAACTCTTGGTTTAACAATTATAATAATAATATTATTATAACATTGCCTCCTTTAAACCAAGTTGGATATATTGGTCATCCCAATTTCCTTCTTCAATTTAAGAAATGTCTTCGTCTTCAAGTTGGATATACTGACTTGTATTTCGTTCTGTAAACCCACTTTACTCCAATTGGCTTCTTCCCAGGAGGTAAATCTGTTAACTCCCAGGTACCATTCTTTTCAATGACACGTATCTCCTCATCCATCGCCTTAAGCCAATGAATTTCTGTAGCAGCCTCCTCAACGGATAAAGGGTCACAATCTGCAAAAAGAGCAAATTGAATAATCTCTTCATCCGACAAGTCATTATCATGACCCAAAACATAATCTTGCAAGCGAGCTGGTAAGTGGCGCTCGCGCTGAGATCGTCGAACTGACGACTCTGGCTGTGAAGGAGACTGGACATTATCTGGAATCGGTTGCTCATCAACAATATTTTCAACAACAGGAATAACAACTGAACTTTCATCTTTAGCTAACCAATCCTAGGCACCATATTCATCAAAAGTGACATCACGACTTATAACAACCTTTTTAGTTTCAGGATTGTAGAGTTTATAAGCCTTTGAAGCGTCACTATAACCAATGAATATGCACTTCTCACCTTTATCATCCAACTTCTTTCTCAATGGATCTGGCACATGTGCATACGCCAAACATCCAAAAACCTTGAGATATTTGATAGAGGGTTTTCTCCCACTCCAAGCTTCTTCAGGTGTCTTATCACGGACACTTTTAGTTGGACACCTATTCAACACATAGACAGCACAAGCAACAGCTTCTGCCCAAAAAGGCTTAGGCAGATCCTTAGATTTCAACATGCACCTCACCATATCCATGATAGACCTATTCTTCCTCTCAGCCACTCCGTTTTGTTGCAGAGTGTATCTGGCTGTCATTTGGTGCTGAATACCCTTTTCCTTCAGAAAATTATCACAAGCAATATATTCTGTACCTCTATCAGTTCTCAAGATTTTAACTTCATAACCACTTTGCTTTTCAACAAAAGCCTTAAATTGTTTGAAAATATCACATGCTTCAGACTTTTGCTTCAGAAAGTAAACCCATGTTTTTCTACTGAAATCATCAATGAAAGTAATAAAGTACTTACAACCTCCATGTGAGGGAACCTCCAACGAACATAGGTCTGAGTGAATAATCTCCAACTGTTTTGTAGCTCTCCTTGACTTGCCCACGGGAAATGGATCTCTATGCTTCTTCCCAATCACACAAATCTCACAGATACGATTAGGGACATTCACAACAGGTAAATCAGAAACAAGTTCCTTTCTTGCAAGATAGTTTAATCCAGAGAAATGAAAATGCCTAAACCGCATATGCCATAACCAATTATCATCGCAAACTTCAGAATTAAAGCAAGCAAGGAGAGTATGCTTAATTTTCAAAGGAAATAGTCGATTTTGGGACATATTTACCTTTGCAATCAAAACTCCTTTAGCATCTGCAATGGTACAACACCCCTGAGCAATATCTATCTTATATCCTTTTTCTGACAATTGTCCCATACTCAACAAATTTTGGTGTAGTTCAGGAACATAGAACACATCGGATATAAAATTGCGAGTACCATCCTTCAACTGAATAGAGATTTTACCTTTTCCCAAAATTGGCACCTTTGACTTATTGCCAAATGTCACTTCAGACCGGACTGATTCATCCAGTTCAGAAAACAATTCTTTCTCCCCACACATATGGTTACTACACCCAGTATCCAAGAACCATATGTTCTTATCTGCAGAAAAACTATTGCTGGCTAAAAGTAAAGTTTCAGAACTCTCACCAGACTTTTCAGCAGTGTTTTCAGCAATGTTTGCTTGATTTCCACGATTGTTGTCCTCATTATACCAACAATCTGCAATCTTGTGCCCATACTTGCCACAATTGTAGCAATGAAATGGAAATTTACCTTGTTTGGTATTACCTCCACCTCTTCCTTGGTTGGAGTTACCACGTCCTCCTCCTTGGTTGAAGTTACCACGACCTCTTCCACTAGAACCTCCTCTTCCTCTTCCACGACCTCTACCAGATCCTCCACCTCTTTGATTAGTGCCAGTCACATTAAGGGTGACTTGGCTCTTCAAAGCTTCTTCTGCTAGTGGTTCCGATTTTGACGCAATCCTGTCAATATGACTTTCTACCATACCTTTCAGCTCTGCAATTGATAAGAGCTCGGTTTTGTGTGACTCTGTTATTGAAGCCACCACATGGTCATACTTCATCGGCATAGTTCGAAGAACTTTTTCAACCACTGCACCATCTTCAATCGTATCTCCATATAGCCTCATCTTATTCACCATATCAATAAGACGAGTGAAATACGCATCTACTGTTTCTGTAGAGGTCATCTCACAATTATCGTACAACCTTCTCAACGACTGCAACTTAGACTTCTGTGCCCGATCAACTCCTTTGTGTGACACCTGTAAGATGTCCCAAGCTTGTTTTGCTGTTTGAGCACGAGCTAATTGCCCAAAAATGGAATAATGAACACCTTGGTGAATCTGACCCAAGGCCAATTTATCTCGCCGTATAGCGCCTGCTTCAGCTCCTTCTTGTAGACCGGGATCAACAAAGCTCCAAAGATTTTGAGCTTGCAAATGTGTGGACATCATAATTTGCCAATAATTGTAATCGAGTTTCCCGTCCAATTTGGGACCCGACCATACAATATTGAAATTTGTTGCCATATTTCACTACGGGAAATATCTCGGGGTTGAAAGGTTGACTGGCTCTGATACCAAATGTTAAATATATTAAATATAATATATTTAATATAATATATATTAAATATAATATAATATATCTATAATATATATATAATATATATTTGAGAAGAGAGAGAGAGAAGGAGAATTGAATTCACTTGATTGATGTTTGAAAAAGATTGATACACAGCCTTTTTATAGTAAAGGAGAAATAATAATAAAGCTAAAAATTAGGAATGTATGCTCCATGTACTCCACATAGACTAAGCAACATACTGCATACACACCACCCACTACTTAATTTAATTAACAAACTAATTAACTCTTGGTTTAACAATTATAATAATATTATTATTATAACATTATTGAACTCTATATTCACAATTACAGAATTCTATGTTCATATTTTTAATTGTTGAACTCTGTATTCACAAATCACAGAACTATATGTTCAATTTGATAACTATACAGTTTAGAAATTATGAATCTACAGTACATATATTATGAATTTGCAGTATAAAAATTATGAATCTAATATAGAAATTATGAATTGGAACCATATGTACCTTGCATGGTAACGTTCCTCTTAGATTACATCTCATCCCACTCTAGATACATACACTACCGTTGCTCTAAATGCTCCAAGCAAACCGGTTATGTCTGGGCATATATAATATTTACAAAATTGTATCCAAAGCATCTTCACAAGCAAGCAAGCTAGAATATACAAGCAAGCATCTTCACAAGCAAGCGATACTAAAAATAATTAATTTATCAATATTAAAGTTTGAGTTTGTTTCAGTGAATATGGTCAACTTAAATTCTTTCGTAGTGGCGCTGGTGGACAATGTGGGCTCCGCTGCTATTTACACTATGGGGTTGCAGTCCCCGGGGGTATCCCTGGTGATAAATGATATGTTTCCTAATTGGATAATGGTGCAGCTTTTCTTGGTGAAGAATTAAGTTGAAATAAAGGCCAAGGTACTACGTTTGGCCACTAGACCAAGGTTGTCTGCCATTTATTCCACGGCACCCATATATAGTTAGAATGATATTGGAATGTTTGGCAAATAGCTTTTTGATAGCATTAAATATAATGTTTTTCATGAAAAAAGTACTACTTTTATATTAAAATATAAAAAAATAGTACATTTGTTCTCAAAAGTACATAAAACCATGTACAAGTCAAATGTTGAATAAATCGAGATAATTTTTCAATTAAAGAATCTGTTATGTTTTAACCCTAAAACTATAAATTAATAGTGAGAGGCTCGACAGAAAGCTTTACAAGTATTAGTTGCAATAAACTGCCTTGATGCTAGTAATAACTGATTTTATCCATGAAATAGGTAATTCAAGGATAAAAAATCCGAGCTTCCAGGGCCAATAATAATAACCCAAACAATGGATGATGTCTAATCCCATATATACTTCACCGAATGACTTCTATATGCTTATGTTAACATGTTCAAACCTTTGAGGTCTTAGCTTTTTCAAACCTTTGAAGTCGTAGGTAGAGAGTGTTGAGCATATAACCATTAACGTGCAATCCAACTATTAACTTAGGCTTTTAGTTGAGATGGAACACATGCTTAAGTGAGAGAGTGAAAGGATGGAGCTGAGGTGGATAATAATATAATCCCAACAGTTGTGACCTAGCTAGCTCCAAAGATCAGAGTTGTTTACATATACAGAATTGTGAATTATATTGTATATATGTCGTGAACGTGAAGGAAGGGAGATTCGATTTGTACGTGTTTGTGGACATGCATGCACTAGCTAGATGCCTAGATAGTATACGTACAAATTAAAATTGCAGCTGATCCTCTATATATATAATGTTCCAATTCATCATCGTGACTTCTTCGAACATAAAAGAAGACCGTTTGGCGTTACAGATCCTATTAGATCATTGAAAAAGAATTAGTCTAGGCCACAAAAAATGCACAAATACGTACTCCCATGTTACATTTTCTGTCATGCACAATTATAGAAAGCACCAAGAGAGTACAGTTGTAACCTTCAAAAGAAGGAACGTCGTCATTTTAGTCTTCTTTTAATTATATTAGAATAGTCAACGACTAAGCCTTTATTATACATGTGACATCATCTAGTCCATCACATTAGATAGATATTAAAATTAACAATGATGAAAGAATAAAATATGTAAATTTATCCATTTCCTCTCAAGCAAACAAATAATTTATGGACTAAACAGGGTGGCATATATAATTAAGAGAGTGAATTGACTATCTAATATAATTGAGGGACTAAAATAACCCTTTCCCTCAAAAGAATGTAAGAGTTTGGTTGAGAATGTTCAAGGAGAAACTTAAATGATTTTGAAATGGAAAGTTAGAATTTTTGCAATCTTAGTTTCAAAAGTTGAATTTTCACACTTATAAATTATATATATGTATCTGTTGGGAAAAATCCCACTACCTGTGACAAATAAAATCACAGGACCGACAAGAGCGCAAATACGAGATGGTGCAAAATAGTCAAAATAAATAACAGACACAAGGGACACAAGATTTACATGGAAAATCCCAAAACCACGGGGAAAAATCACGGACCACCACCAATACAATATTCCACTATAACAAATCGTTGGTACAAAGTTGTTGGCTACCACCCGAGCCAAACACCCTAAAAATCATCAAATACAACCACTAGCTAGGTCAAATACATTCTATCACGTTCACAGGCCTAAAAAGGGATACCAACTCGTACTCAAAATATTCAACCACCACGAGCAAGGTGAATAAAATACAAATATTACGAGATTATCCAAAACGATGATGCCTGGAACAAACAACTGACCTCTACAAAATATTTGATGAAGAAAGTACCACAAAAGCTTCGGCAAACCTCACGACAAATCCACCAGACGTGCGACAAAACCTGCTGACACACGCCGCCGCCGTGCCACCAAAGAAGCTAAGCAAACCCACGATAAAGTAGCACAAAAAGAAGAAGAAATAGATGTTGCTCCTTCAACTGCTGCATACGGCCGTGAAAAGAGAAAGAAAGAAAACTGAATTTTTCTTTCTTTTTGGGGCCTACTGCTTCTGCCGAAAAATACAAATGGAATATGTGTAGTATGTAGAAGTGTTGGTGTAGTGGTGAGGAAACAATGAATTTTCCCTCCTTTTATAGTTGCAGGCAGCCCACCTTGGGAAATGAAGAAAGCTAATTAATTCCTCAACTTCCTCCCATAAACTTTAGGAAATCTCCTCCCATAAACCTTAGGAAACCTCTTCCCATAATCCTTAGGAAATCTCCTCCCACAAACCTTAGGAAACCTCTTCCCAAGTTCCTCCCAAGCAAACTTCTGCCCAACAACTTCATCCCAACATCCACTCTTTAACTTCTACCCAATAACCCATTCTCCAACCCAAACAATTGTCAGCAAACTTTTCCATCAAACTAACAAATATTATAGTGAAATAGGTTTGGTCCAAAATGAGCTATTTACCACATAGGAGGGAAGCTCAATCCCAACAGTATCAACAACTAATGAAAAAATTAATAGGAGAAACTAACTTGACTTCTCAATATTGTCCGTATATTTATTAGAAAGACTGTTCAATGCCTAAATCACAATATAAATGCATAGTCAAAAAATTATGTTGATCTAAGCGAAAGTCAATAATCAATGTTGATATTTTGAAATATCAACACAATTCAACATAAATATTACATACATTTTTATCTAGCTCAACCTGTCTATAAAAATCTTTAAGATACAGCATCATAGAACACTCACCCTTCATAAAAAGCTTAGCGGTCTGAGACATCTGAAATTGAAGCGGTGTCATGAGAAGGGGATGATGTGTTTGTAAGTACCTGTACTCTATTCCCCAAATCAGAGATAACGGTAGGCCTGTTTGGTTGGTTTTGAAAGATTGAACGATCACTTGAAGAAAGCATGATCACCACTTCCGACATGCTTGGCCTTAGATTCGGGGGTGATTGGGTGCACACCAATGCAATTTCCAATATTTTCTTTACTTCTTATGTTGTATAGTCATTGGGGTCTAAAGTGCTATCTACCCGTCGTAGATGTTCATCGTTCTCATACAGTTTCCATGCCTATATAAAATCATGCACAAGTCAAATGTTGAAGAAATCGATCAAGATAAATTTTGTGTTATGTTTTAACTAAAAGTACGTATAAATTAATAGCTAGAGGATCGAGAAAACAATTAAGAAATTACTTGTTCAAGGAGATATTCAGTGACAGGTTCGACTCGAATGTCACTGCTCCTTCGACCGCTAATGATCTCCAGGATGACGATCCCAAAACTGTAGATGTCAACTTTTTTTGATAAATGACCATGAATCGCGTATTTAGGTGCTGTATATCCCCTATTGCAATACGAGTAGGTCTTTTTAGTGGTTAAAAGTATTAATTTCCCTTGATAAGATCGAAAATGTGGAAAAGAATAAGGCTTACAAAGTTCCTGCAAATTTAGTGCTAACATGGCTCTGATTTTGAGGTAAAAGCCTTGCCAGACCAAAATCAGCAATTTTTGGGCTGAAAGTCATCATCTAGTAGTATATTGCTGGATTTGATGTCTCTGTGTATGATGCATACATGGAACTGTTGATGCAGATAGACAAGACCCATAGCTGTACCCAATATTATATCAATGCGTTGCTTCCAATTCAGCATCCCTCGTTTATCTCCTGCCAATCCAATAAAAAAATGGGAATAATATATAGTTCATATATCCCTACTCAAAAGTAACCAGATCAGATCATCAAAATAATAACAATGTAGGTTTAGGGGGCATGCACCATATATGTATCTGTCAAGACTGGTGTTGGAGGATACAAATACTTAGCAAAGCTGAGCAGGGGCATTTCTGTCTTTTGGCATAATAACGGTTATAACCGTTTTCTTCCCTTCTTTGATTGTCTTCCTTGATTGCACATTGACCTATATATAATGAGGGCTTGTCTATGGATGTAATAGTAGAATAATGAATGAACACTTTACCTTCTTCTCTTCAATTGTGAACTAAACCTCTTGGATCTAATTGCATGACATAATACAAGCTTAGCTGCTGATTTCAACATGGTATCAGAGCGCAATCGCAGCTACGCCGCCGCCGTAATAGGTGTGGATCGTGAAGCCGGCGACGAGAACCCTACCGGAAACACAGCAGGTGGTTCAACTCCGGCCAGTCAGGTCCATGCAAGCCAAAATCCGATACATCGAGTGGATGAAATTGACGATCCGATGTATCTACACGTCACAGAGAATCCGAATGTAATACTGGTCTCACCTCCTCTGTCCGAGTCTAATTACGCTACGTGGAGCAGATCCATGAAGCTGGCGCTAGGAGTGAAGAATAAGTATGGATTCGTAGACGGATTAATTCGAAATCCAGGTGAATCTGATCCAAAATTTTTCGCCTGGAAGAGATCGATTGATATTGTGTGTTCGTGGATTTTGAGATCCCTAAACCCTACCATTGCTGAGAGTGTCCTGTACTTTGAGCTAGCAGAAGATATCTGGAACTCCTTGAGAAAGAGGTATTCTCAAGCAGATCCCCACAAAATCGCAGAAATTCAAAATGAGATTTACAGAAATCTACAAGGTAACATGTCTATTAATGAGTTTTTTACTAAGTGTAATGCTCTCTGGGAGAACTTGAATGCAGTAAGGCCCTCAGTAATGTAGGAGGTAAGAATGTGTCAAAATGTACATATTGTGGTATGAATGGTCATACCATAGATAAATGCTATAAGAAGCATGGCTTCCCTCCTGGATGGATACAAGGATACAAAGCCAAAAACAGACAAAGCAGGACACTTAGCAAAATGTTAATTCCTCCATTAGTCAAACTGCTGATATAGAACTGTCACCTGATCAGTTCAAGAAGCTCCTATCCCTTTTGCAAGGTCAGAATCAAGGAAACCAGGCTTCCACCAATGCTGCAGTGTCAATGACTGATACTGGAATGAGGCCTAACTTCAGTAATGTGCCAAATAACTCAAGAGAAGGCAAGTGTTTCCCCTTCCCTCACATTTATGCTGTGTTGAATTCCCCTACTGTATGGATCTTGGACTCAGGAGCTACTGACCATACCACATGCTCCTTAGATTATGTTGAAAACTGTCATCCTGTTGATGATATATTTGTGAAACTGCCAGATGGAGAAACTGTGCAGGTTACACACATGGGAGAAGTTAAGCTACTTCCCAACCTGGTGCTGAGAAATGTTTTATATATTCCATCCTTTAACTTCAACATAATCTCTGCTAGTAAATTGATAAAGCAAAGTGGTTGCACTTTTGTTATGAAATCTGATTCTTGTGATATTCAGGGACTTAATGAGATGGTGGATGGTTTTGCTAAGGAAAAGGATGGGCTTTACCTACTCAATCAACCTCCTATTAAGAGAAAGCACTGTGTTGAGATTAGTAGTCAGTGTAATAATTTGACTCTTCAAATGTGGCACAATAGGTTGGGGCATTATCCCATAGATAAGATTCATACTTTGAATGGAATAAAATGTGTTCAGTTTCACAAACCTCAAAACTTTGCCTGTGATGCATGTCATTTTGCCAAACACAAGAAGTCTGTTTTTCCTGTCAGTAATACTGGGGCTGAAAACTGTTTTGATCTGATCCATATGGATGTGTGGGGTCCCTTTCCAGTGCCATCTTTGAGAGGGGAACACTACTTCTTAACCATTGTTGATGACTGTAGCAGATTCACATGGTTACATTTGATGAAAAATAAATCAAAAGTCAAAGGACTGATTCAGAATTTTTATAGCTATGTTGATACACAATTCTCAACAAAAATAAAGGTGGTAAGGTCTGATAATGGAACTGAATTCCTTATGACCTCATTTTTTAATGAAAAGGGAATAATTCATCAAAAATCCTGTGTCAACACACCCCAACAAAATGGGGTTGCAGAAAGAAAACACCAACATGTCTTGAATGTTGCTAGGGCACTGAGATTCCAATCAGGGGTTCCCCTAGAATTTTGGAGTTATTGTGTATTGCATGCCACTTATCTCATTAATAGGCTGCCTACCATCATCAACAGTGGGAAATCACCTTATGAGGTCTTGTTTGATCAATCTGTGGACTATAATAATTTCAGGACTTTTGGCTGCTTATGTTTTGGTGCCTCAGCCCCACAAGGAAGAAATAAAATGATGCCTAGGGCTAAGAAATGTATATTCTTGGGGTTACCAGCCAACATAAAGGGCTAAGAATTGTATCCAGGGATGTTCAATTCTATGAAGACATATATCCTCTCAAAGATGGAAACTCAGCAGTCAGGCCTATAACCCCTCAGGCTCAGTGGTTCAATCCTTCATTACCCCTTATTCCCACTGATACAGATGTGGTGAAGATCCCAAACAATTCCACAAACACTCATAGTCCTCCTGATATATCTTATGCAGAAGATTATGGTCCCAATGATATAACTCCTTTGGCAGATCACATAATTGGTCCTCATGAAGGAAATGGCACAAATAGTGGGGATGAAACACAAAATGAGCTGAGCAATGATACAGAAGCAAATGAGACAGAGCCAAATCAAGAAAGTATTAATCAACATTGTCCTAGAAGATCTCAAAGAACC